GTCCCACGGCCCTCTGTGGCCCAAAGTTAAACACTGTTGTTCTTTTGAGGCCCTCAAGATGGCGCTCATGGCCCACAATTGGGCCACGGCTCACAGGTTAAGAATCTCTGCTCTACTGCACACTTTCTATGTTACAGTCTGATCTAAATCCAGTTTACCTTGTAGGAAAGGCTGCTCCCTCTACTGGGTGCGTCCTGCCAACATATCACAGACTGGGATGTAGTGAGAATAAACCTCATAAATAAAGAATAAAACTATTATCACTGTGGTTTTTCATTCAAATGGCCTAAAATAAGCTACATTTAATTTAAATCACATTTGGGAAAGCACCTTGATTTCAGGAATGGATCAAGTACAACAGATCAAAGAACCAACCTAAACAAATMCTACCTCCACATGTAAACAAAAGTAAAGAGAGAAAAACAGACACTCCCAGAGAGCTGGTACTGTTGTGGACTAGCTGGAGACAACTAGAGAGAGAAAGCAGACATGTACCTAAAACTAAAACAGCTCTAGAACTCTACATAAACGTAACAGATTTGAGAGTTAAGACAGGTTTTAGACACCTCTGACCACTTGTTTTCTTCAACATGTTCAAAACCCCTGCCTCGAGTGCAGGAGTTTCAGTATCTGAGTGTTTTGTTCCTGAGTGATGGCAGGATGGAGGAGATGGATCGATGGATTAAGAAAGAGCTGAGTTAAAAGGCAAAGCTCTGGATTTACTGGTCTGTCTTCGTTCCAACCCTCAGCTGTGGTCATGAGGSGTRGATCATGACCGATAGAACCAGATCCTGGATACAAACAWCTGAAAAGAGCTTCCTTCATAGGGTGGTCAGACTCAGCCTTGGAGATAGGATGAGGAGCTCTGTCATCCAGGGGGAGCTCAGAGTGGAGCCACTGCTCCTCCACGTTGAGAGGACTCAGTTGAGGTGGTTCATCTGGTTAGGATGCCTCCAGGTCACCTCTCTTTAGAGGTGTTCCAGAAATGTCCCACTAGTAGGAGGCCCCAGGGAAGACCCAGGACTCCCTGGRGGGATTATGTATCCTCTCTGGTCTGGAAACATCTCGGGGTCAGCCCAGGACGAGCTGGAAGGTGTTGCTGGGCACAGCAGTGTTRTATAAAGTACCACAAAGTGATACTTGAGTAAAAGTACAAGTATCTTATCATAAAATGACTTTGGTAAAAGTTAAAGTGTCCTTTATGAATATAACTTGAGTAAAAGTGTTAAAGTATGTGATATTKGTTGTAGTTAAGTATTAAAAGTCAAAGTGTAGATTTAAAATGAGCAGTTAGATTTTCTGTAAGGACATTTATTAGGAGGTGACCTCCCCAAAAACTGCAGAAATGACTGTTGTATTAAAAGAATGAATGGATGTTAAATTTAGGATGCACTAGTCCAGCTGTTTCAGTTTATATACATATATCAAGGCTGCACAAAGCTTTTCCCCAAAATGAAAATCTATCTGAGGGCTGCGGCCAAATGTAAGAATATAATTCATGAAATACAAATACTTCTTAAGTACAGTCCTTTGATTTGAAGGATTCTGTCCTGCTGGAGTGTGACATGATTTGTTTGTGTACAAACTAATACACTATCAGAGTTTTATATATTTATACTTCTCATTCAACCACAGTTAAATTCACTCTATCTAGGAGGCTCAGTTTATATGGATAGTTTTTATTTTTTACAACAAGCTGCAATGAAAACAAGCAGAAATGAAATAAAAGTAACAACTTTATACTTCTTGTCTTTTTTAAAAAATGTAAGGAGTGAAAAGTAGGCTGAAAAATATTTACTCAAGTAAAGTACAAGTACCCAAAAATTCTACTTAAGTACAGTAAAGAAGTATTTGTACTTCRGTACTTTACAGCTCTGGGGGACAGGGAGGTCTGAGTTTCTCTCCTGGACCTGCTGCCTCCATGACCTGACTTAAACTCTGATGGGTCCTTTCTTACACCTGGTTGTAGCCAGGCACCAGGGTGGAAGTGTGCACCTCACTYTTGAACYGGTAACTTGAAAAATAAGRGACAGATAGATGAAAGGTATTCCCAAGTCCTCYATTCGCTCCATGATGGGGGATGACTACTGTCTTTATTCATGTATAATACTGTACTGGAAATTTAACCCTAAAAATAATCCATAAAGTGTTTCAGGGTTCTCACTCCTTGGTCAACATCAAATTCAAGGACCTTTCAAGGACTTTCCAGTACCAGTCTCCTCAGATTCACAAAACAAGTGTAATGGCATTTACCTACTGCTACCAGAGACTGTTACCAATAAACAGGTTTAATATCATGTAATTCAATGAAAAACTGGGAATCAATGAAAGAAAGTKGATTAAATGTTTACCCTACATTCATATCTACAACACATGAACATGTAATTATGTCCTGGGAGGGTCTGCAGCTCAGTTTGGGAGGAGGGGATGTGAGCAGGTCCAGACCCTCGGTGAGGACAGGAGGTGTGGTGCTTCACCTGGGCTCAGAAAGAAAGACCCGCCCTGCTCTGCTCTGATTGGGTAAAACTGTGACTATGGCTCACGTTTGTTGAAAGCCACGTCAGTTTACTGTAATCCTGAGTTATCCACTGCAACAAATACAAGTTTGGGTTTCTTTGTTTTATTTTAAAATTATTATTATTGTTGTTTATTATAATTTTTGGCTGTTTTCACAAACTTTCCAGGGCCTTGAAATCATTTTTTCAAATTCACAAACTTTCAAGAATTTCAAGGACCTGTGGGAACACTGGTGTGTGTGTGTGTGTGGGGGGGTGTAGTGGTAGTATTATACATGGGTTATTGATGAATAGATTTTTTAATGCTTTTTAAGATCTAATAAAGATGATCGTATTATACTCAAGATCATATTATACATGAATAAACACAGTGATTAAAAACATAAAACTTTTAGAAACCTAAAAAATACAGATTTCTTGTAGCCTACCTGTTGTTTCAGGGCCTCTCTGTAGTTCAGAATCCTGTCCCTGGTAGACCTGGGTCTCTCTGAGGTGAAGACCCTGGTTTGTAAATCCCCAGCAGCAGGGTCATTGCCGGGCCTGTTAGAACCGTCACAGAACCACACTGTTCAGCTTTGACAAAGAGAAATGATACATTAATAATAAGAAAWTCCTCACTGAATCTGAGGCTCAGCGAAGCTTGAAGCACTGAGCTGGCTGTGAGGACTGTGGTTCTCCAGCTGACTGGACACCCCTCCCCCCGRTGGTACGGTCCAGTAGGACAGAGGAAACCCAGCACCAGGAACAGAGTAATGAGCGTCTGAACAGTGGAGARACACAAACTCCATGATGGTGTTCTCGTCTACAACAGGGAAGATGTTGAWGACCAGCACTCACAGGGGGCCAGGCCTGGATCAGGTGGGTTTCTGGTTCCGTAGAACTGATGAGGTTCTCCGTATGGGCTTCTGTAAGGTTCACTTAGTGAGGAGGGTGGGTGAGGAAGAAACATGGGGTTTCTGCAGGAACGCAGATGGACAACATTTAATGATGTTTACATTAAAACCAGGTTAAATCTGAGTAAAGAGTTACTTCATGACAAATATTTTATTAAATATTAAAATCAGTAAAAACACAACAACAGATGTTTTTCATCTTGAACTAAAATCTACTCAGTTTTAGTTTTACTTGTTAGTCAGAATCCAGCAGTAATCAGATGTCAGTGTTTCCATTGATGTTGTGTGTATATATATATATAAATACACACACACACACACACACACACACACACAC